ATTCCATGAGCATTTCCATCTTCTAGATAAAAAGCTTGACACTATAGTAGGGGTTAAAACCAGACTGCAGTATTATTTATGTGGACAATGATTTACTCTGTGCCAAAAGGTACCTTGTGCCTCCAGTCAGTCGCACAAAGCCAGCGGACAACGGAAGCAATGTTCCATTCTTTTGCATGGATCAATCTGCCCCATAATCTAAGAAATTAATTTGACACTTGTTGTGTCTCAGCATGTGCTAAATAGTATTTTAACGTTAAACATACTGAGTTTTTAGAAAATCTATATATCATGAAGAGAATCAACATGCAGAGGAACACAACAGCAAGATACTATTCAATTCCAGTTTAAGATGTGCTGTTTGGGTTTTTAAAAAACAGTGGTGGGGAGTCACTGCTGGTTATGCCAACAGGAGCAAAGCCAGAAGTTACCTGAAACCTAGAGAACTAAGTTGTTAAGTTTTGTACTTGCTGATTTGGGAGCTTCAGGCTGTAGTTTGATGGCAGGCTGGACTTGCCAGGTTGGCCAAGCATGTCCTCAGGCTCCCTATGCCCTGCCCCAACCCCAGCCCGTCGGTCGGTTTAACGATGTGGTTCATAGAAACACTCCACAAACAATAGATTTGGCTCGGTTTGGAGTAGCTAACTGCAGCAAGGACATGGTAGTAAGAACTCAGGGAGGTGACCAGGAGTAGTAACTCCTTGAGCTGACTATGTTGCCAACACCAGAATATTGTCCAGCTATGGTTTCACACTTGGTGTGCATTGAAAACTCCAGGTTTTTAACACAAAACAAACCAACAAAACCAAAACCCACACAGCACGAATGAAGTGTGTTTGACAGCAGTTCTGCAAACAAAGCAGCTAGTGAAATAAACTCATTTTAGTGATTTCTATGCAAGAGCTCTAGGTAGAACCAAACTTCTGGGATTATCCAATGCTACAGCCACCTCCTGTAGAAGTTTTATGATCCCTCAGAATGTGCCAACATAGGAGCTCTCTCAGGAAAACAAGCAAGCAATGTACAGCAAGAAGGGCTGATGCCTCGGGGCAGGCACACTTTGCATTGATCAATGATTTTGTGGCAGTACAACTGCAAGTAACCTCTTTAACAAGCCCTCCTTGGTTTTGTTCACTCAGAACTAAACAGCACAAAGGCAAGACGGAACAGTATCGTACTCTCTGCTCAGACCGTATTAGGAATAATACAATTTTGACCAATTAAATAACCTTCAAATTTTAGTTGGGCTCAGTGGGAGTTTTTTTGGTGTGGGTTTTTTTTTTTTTCATTTGCTGATTGTCCTGTCATTCCAATGCTAAGAAACCACTCTAAACCTCTCTGAGCGCAAGACCAGCAAGAGCAACGGCATCAACCAGCTGCTTTGGGCTGCCTCCAGGGAACAAAAATTTCCCATAGAGGAGGGAGTGATTTCTGTGCATTTTACACAGTAGACAACGTAGCTGGACTACTACAGTGCTCTGTATTGATCCCTCCCTCCATGTATATTCTGAAGCCCTGAAAGAAAGTTTTCATTTCTACATACTTCAAAGGATAACACACAGACGATGTTCATTTTATTTACTAATACCTACAAAACTTAACACAAGGTGTCGTTATCTACATTGTGTGTTAGGTGATTTCAAGGCTCCTATGAGAGCTGAGATATAAAAGCCATAAATCAAGGCATTATCCACCAAGTTTTCCAGTGGGAAGGATGATTCAGCTGACAAGATGTGGGAACATGAGTCTGTACTGATAAAGACAATGCTGAAATATTCAAGGCTGAGGAAGATAATTAGTCAGAGAGGATTGCTGCAACATTTGGTAGGAAAAACACTTGCGGACTACATTCCACAGAAGACAGCACTCCCTTCCACTGCCATCCATCAAGCTCAAAGAGGAGACATGATTCCTCCTCAGCTGGGAGTGCCTTTTTTCATGTCAACAAGGGTGTAGCTGTATCCTGCTATGGACAACACCCTAAGAAAGGAACAGACCTTTTTGAGTGAATGGGTGATTACAGATTTACAGATTATAGCGATTTACAAAGGATAAATGTAAAATAAAAGGAATTGGGTTGCATGTTCTAGAAAGGAAAAGATAGGGCCAAAAAGAACATAAAAGACATCTAAGAGGAGAGTCATCAATTTTGAACTTGCAAAGAAGTAATCACTAATTTTCAGCAAAGGTTTGGATGGTACATGAGACAACCTATCCAGATAGATAGCTAAGCATAGAAGAAACATCTGAGGAACCTTTTTTAACCAGAGTCTATGAAGGATGCATTAGATCTTGTTTGCAAGGCTGAAAGGGCTGACTACAGGAGCAGCAAGGAGGAACTAAACGTGGCTTTAAGCTAGTATTGTCAGAACTGTAATGAAACATCTCAAGTAGAGCACGTTCTCTTTTGCCATTCTTCATTTGTTTTGCTTCCAGGGAGGCATCAGCAGGAGGTGGCTGAGCCCAGGTGTTTGTGCCTTTTTGGCCTGTTGCTCAGAGGGTGAGAAGCAAGGTCCCTTGTTTTCCTAGCACAGCATCAGAAGCTGCTGACATCTCGTGTTATCACCGAACAGGCCAAGAGCTGTTCTTGCACCCTTCCTGCTTTGACCTCAAAGTTCCCATCCAGCCTTCTTTTTATATTTTCTTAGCCAGGCCCCGTGTATTAAGGTTGGGGTATGGTTAGGCTGAACTCAGAGAGGTAAAACTGAAGAGGATTTCATCAATAAGGAGGCCCTTGCTTGGTATCCACCTTAGCTATGACCCAAGTCACTTTAAGGAGGCACTATAGCCCTTCCCACTCTTACACAGGCAATCCAGTCAGCATTTATGGTAGCAGTATTGCTACTATATATGCCTTCATCTTCACAACCAACAACTTCCTACCACCAGCTGTGGGAGAGGCCAGGGAGGCCAGAGAAGTAATCTTTGTGCTTGGTAACTCAAAGGAAAGGCACGTAGAGTATCACAAAATCTCGCTTCTTACGAGTAAGCATTAGAAAGCTTACCTCAACAGGGGGACACTGTAACTAGCTCGCTCCCCACAGAAGAGAAGAGATGGCACAGCAAGATCTTGTGCCAAGTCAACAGAACAGGATGACAGACAAGAGCAAGAAGACCCGATTTGCAGGGCCACTCCAGTATGAGTTTTGTATTCTCAAGGAAAGTCTTATTAAATATGATATGATACAGTTGTGAGGACATGGGTTAGAGAACAAGAGGAAGATTTCCATCAGTCACACAAATCAAATTTTTTTACACAGCTACAAAAATCATCCTACTATTGTATTGCTTTAAAATCCATTGTTTCAAAGATTCGTGGCAGGTGCAACTTTAAGGGGTTGTTAAGAGTCATAACATATTTATTCAATTCATACTGCCGAAAAAAAGGCACAAATTTAAAGGATACAAGGGCTAAAAGAGGTCTGCCTTTCATCTTATTTCCTCTCCCTTTCATTTTGTAGAGGAGATCTGAACTTTGTAATTTGATAAAAGACTAAATATTCATTAGCATTCAAAACCAAAAGAATGAAGACAAGAGTAGTCCAGGGAAATTATTAATGGATACAATTTTTTTTTTTTTTTTGTCTTAAGCCCCTGCCAAGTAGCTTCAAAATTTTCTGATATTATTCTGGATAGCAGAATAACCAATACTAGCATATACACTAACAAAACTGTACTTCTGTGAAAATTCCAGGACTTCAACAATTAGTTTTCCACAATAGCCTAATGTTGTAAGTCATTTTCTAATGGACAGAAGCAGGGGGGGTCATTTTGATGAAAAATTATACATGATTTTGACATGTCCTCCTACACAAGAAAATCTGAAAGATTTAACAACAGCAGTTTCACTGTATAAGGTGCATTTATTGCTGTTCTACATCAAACTTGAGGAAAAACCACATTATTTAACAAGCTAGTTAAACATACGTAACAACTCAGAATCCAGTCTTACTCAGGCATCACAGGTTATTTATTTGACTTACAAAGTAATTCCCAATACTGCTTGAAATTTTTAGTGCACAGAATTAATTTTGTCTCAGAAGACACCAACAATAGTATTTTGAGTGCCACTGTGCTCCATTCGAACTGTGGGTTCCTGAAAAATCCTTTGTGGCTTTTACCCCATGATTCTAGCTAGAAGTTTTTGAAGATTATACCAGAACTCATGACAGAAAGCTCCAAGAGATGATACCCACTTCTGTGTCAGCCCCTATTTTGTGAATACTGACACCATCAGTTATACCATTCTAACTTGGTTTCAGCAAAAGTTCAACCTGGCCTTACTTAAAAGAAACAGAAGCTTCCAAAGAAAGCAATGTTTGCCCGCAGCTCTGATACGAGCTAATGAATAAGGCCACTTCAACTTGGTCCATTTTTTCCTATTAAAAAAAATGATGAAGGAAATATTGTCAGTTAAGTTTAAACGTCACACATTGCATAACCCAAGACACAATGCTTTCTCTAACATCTCCCTGTAAGAGCAAATTGCCTCAGCTCACATTAGATGTAACACAGGTGGCAAAGCTGCACAACTGTGTGTCCTGAAACAACTCTCACTAGAAGGCAGACTGCTTTCTAACAGGTTCTTTGCGATGGGAAATTTATTTCTGGTGTTAGAACTAGAAGAGGAAGCTATTTCACTACGCAGTTACTACATGACTAGCCACTACAGCTGAACAGCCATAGGTAGAGTCGATAGTTAAGCAGCAGTACAAAAATTGCAATAAAAACCTGAACATGTTAGCGACAGTACTGCTGCTTAACATGCCAAGTCTCTTCTACAAAGTATATGTTATTTTCAAGTTAAGTACAAATCTTTCCAAGCTGCTTCTAAATATCATGCACACTATTTATATATTTACTTTTGTTCTTCCCCTAGTAAAAATAATTTATATTGTGCTTCCCACGGAATATCTGTATCACACTATCATGTATTCTTCCCTCGATGATTACTCAGTTTTGATGGGGGACTACAAAATAAATTTCTGCAGCACTTGGTATTAGAATAACCAAATAGCTTTAATAAAAAGTGATGCTGCCATTAAAAAGGCAGAGGATAAAAAAAATTAAAGCTTTTTATTAACTTATCACTAAAATCTACAATATTCCACAAAGGTTACATACTCACAGCAACATTATGCTGTTAAGAGAACAGTGTAACATTTGTCAGGATCTGTTTATTACCTGCATATGCATTTTATTAACCAGTCGATCTACAAGATATTATTTACCACAGACAAACTAGTGTGCTTTTAAGAAACCTGCATAGAAATGATTTGATGTTTCTTTTAGTTTGGACATATTTACAAAAAGGATTTCTATGTGTGTTAGCAATAAATAATCTCAATATTCAAAATGTCAGTGCTCATGCACACACCGACAAGATGGTTGCATGCTTTAAAAATATTATTTACAGTATAGTCTCCTTCATAGCCCTCTCCCTAATGATAGCAGAAAGAGGATTTTCTTCCATATTCTTTCTCCTTTCCTTTTGTTTTCATTTAGTCTTGCTTCTGAGGGATACACCCTTCCATCTCAACAACTTCTGGCCAGCCTTCATACTTGTTTGTGTCCTTGTTGTTCTTTATATGCTATAAATAGAAAACACCAATCTACAATTAATGTAAAGTCATTTGGCCTTTAACTCGCAGGTTTAAAAGACACTTTATTTACTTATTTTCAGGCCATGGATGAAGATATCCACTATTAGCCTCTTGTGTTTTGTATCAAATATAAACTCCCACTATTCACCACTTAATCTAACTTGCTCAGACGAGCGTATGCTAAAAACAGTTAAGCCAAACTGGGAAAACATTTTTTAAATTTATTACGGATGTTTATTTAGGAAGAGAGGCAAGCAAGGAAAAGATCAACTGCATTAAAACATGAACCACTGCAAAAAAAAAAAAATAAGGATACTAAATTTACAAGGCACTGAAAACAGAGTCAGATTTTAAAGAATATTGTTTAATGTTGAATGTTCACCATTTTTGAAAATTAGAGGTTTGTTCTTCCACCAAGCTACCATCTGCAGTCAGGTGAGACATTACTGCCGCCAAGAGTTTGCCACTGCTCCTGCACTAGTTCCCAGTCCCTCGGAAAGCTGGCTGAAGAGAACACGCCTTCCCTACTCTCCTAGCACAAAGCTACCTTTAATGGTAATTAAAGGTAACAACGACACATGTTGAATTGTAACAGCTGAAGTATGGGAACATATTCTATTTCACAAATTTTGCTATGGCAGCAATAGTTTTCGACAGAAGAGTAAAGTGGGCAGCTGGGAACACCAACACCTCAACCACCACTCGTCTTTTGGAGGTCTACCATTGTTAGTGCATCTAAAATACAAGCATTAGGCAGTAAGGTTTGAATTCTTTAGCTTAACTGGATTCCTTAAAAAGGTAAGTGATCTAGTTATTAGGATAATAAGATCTACCCCATATAAGATTACCAAATAATTTTTTTGTACAGGAGGAGGCTAGTAAAGAAATAAATTTGAAAATAACACTGTGTCTCACTACCGCAATAGACACCCATCTTGAACAAATGCATGGTATTTATAAAACATGCTACACCTTTATTAATGTAAGCTGTTAAATTCCAGTAAGTTACAGAATCACAGACCTGTTCAAATGGACTTTTAGTCTTAATTCCTTTTCCACCACAGAAGACCCAGTTGTCTCTAAAGCCAAGGTTAGTAATAGATGTGCTTCCTAATTCAGCGATCAGTTTCCGTGCTTCCTCATTAAGCCTTGAACAAAAGAGAGAAGTTCAGTATGTGAACAAAATACACGCCCGTAGAGCTTTCACTGTTCAGTGGACCATTCAGCTTTAATTGATTAAATATAGTTTACGTCAGTCAATACTGGGCAAGATCTATCTTTCAAAATCAGATAAGGCTAGTTCTGAAATGACCTGATCTAATAAGCACTGCTCCTTAATATTACAGTCTCAAGGAACCAGCATACAAACCTATCAGTATGCCAACAAAAGCCAAGAACCCTCTCCTGTGAGAATTTATACATACATCTCAAGTCACGTTAGCAATTCTCCAAGCAACTAAAAAAGTCAACCTTTAAAGCAAACATTGTTTGCAGGCTCAACCTGAAGTGTACATAAAGTAAAAGCTATTTTAGATTAGAAGAATAGCCTAAATCTACTAAAAAAGTTCTTGTCTGCTTGGGTCAATTAATTCAAATTTCAGAATGCTGCCTCGCAGCACGGTTCAGTGCCTGTAGGTCTAAGTAGGATAATTTTAGTATGGAAGGCAAAATTATTCTGTAGGACGATAAATTATCATTCCAAAACCTCCAAATAACAGCTCTTTATTTCTTCCTTTCAGTTACTATATTTGCCCGATTACTAAAACAACACACAAAACTTCTGATTATTGCTACTTACTGAGATATAGTTGTATGACTCACTTCAGTGGAAATTATGAAAAAGATTAAGTACTTTGGAGGTTATTTGCACAACCCACACTCCAAGCTTCTCAAGCATTAGGGCAGCTTACATTTAAAACAAAAATCAAAAAAAAAAAAAATTTTATCTTTTAAAAATGTTGGTTCATCACAATTTCAATTGTTTTCAAGAACTGGCATTTATGATTACCATCAACCACGAGCCATAAGGTTTTGGCTAATTATGGAATATGCACTAATAAGCAGCAGTTCTCAGCTGCCAGCATGAATGGGCCAAATTCACCTTCTTGTTTAACTGATATTGTATCTACATACAAGCTTTCAAAAACATCAGCTGTGACACGATTATTTAAAACTAACTGTACTTGCTATCTAAAACATCCAAGAAAGGAAAAAGAGCAAAAAGTAGTAATAAAGCAAGTTAACAGAACAACAGAAGATCCAGCCTTGGTATAAAGAAACATTAAATCGCTTTCTTCTCCTAAAAGCAATGAATCTACAGACATTTAACTATTTATTGCAAATATTACACACTGCAAAGTCAGGACTTTGTCACAGAAAAGCTGCTCCTATATCAAAAACACAGACAAGTGGGGATAACAAATTCAATCAAAAAAGGAAAAAAACCGTACAGAATGCATTAGCAAAAAGTTAAATATTATTAAAACAACACAGAAAAGGAAAAAACCACTCTTAATTTTCACTATGAAAAGGAATCCTCTGGACAGGATGACTTAAGTGAGGAGTAGATTACAATACAAATTCTCCAGCAATTTTTAGTATCTATTAAAGCTGACTGAATTTGGGAAGGTTGGAAGATACTGCTTAAAGAGAACTAAAACCTCTTAAGACTACGTCTACATTAAGAAATTTAACAGTTTTAGGGTAGAACAGTCCAAACACTGAGGCCAAGAAGTACAAGGCACACACTAGTAACCTCTCAGACTTTGTAAGAAAGGATATAGTTGAGGCCTATTGGGAATGGTTTCTGCACCCCTGTAACCACTGAACTCTGTCTTCCAGTTGATCTGAGAAAAGTGCTGGATGGAACAGACCAATTTCCACCAGAATACAGTCTCACAGTCATGTTCCTATTTCCTATGCCTGGACATATTTGAATTTACTAGCATAAAGACAGAAGGAGTTATCAGCAATAGGAAAATCAGCACATCTCCAAAAAGACAGATCTCCTGGGCAGCACACTACCCAAAAAAAAAAAAAAAGAGGTGGGGACAAGTTCTAGGAGAGCAGCTAGAAACCTACAGGGAGGATAAGGGTATGATTTTAAAAAGAAGTACAATGCTGATCATATGTCCTACATTGTGTTCTTGTTGCTCGAACCTCTTTTCTCAGAAGCAAAAAAACTCAACTACGTGTACTGATACAGCAACTGCTCATTAGTCAAATATTAATCTCTAGCCTTTTCAGATTTTCAAACACTTGTGATATTTCTGCAAAAGTTTAAGCAATATTTACTATATAAATCAACGACATACTTAGTTGCACCATCATCATATGTTGCCATTAACACTATCGTTCCATCCTGGATAGACTTCAGAAATTCAATAAACGGTGCCACATCTAAAAAGAGAGAGAACGCAAAGCTGTTTAATAACAAGCAACCATTTTCATACTTAAAAGCCTGCAATGTCTTCCTGCAAAGACATTCCTTTTAAGACTATTTGTAAATGTACTTATAAGTTTATAAAAGGATGCTAAGTGAGAGAAAGATAAAATGCATGACAGAACTCTCTTGTTTTATAGAAAGAGTTTCATCCCTATTGTGTAAAGACATAACCACCACTGGGAACTACTGGGGAGAACAAATGTGTTTGATTAACCACACCATTCCCACCCACCTCACCTATTTGCGTATCTGAAGTTACAGTCTCCTCACAGTTACAAAGGTAGAGGTGAAGCACTCCCTTAACTATCACCTCAAACCACCACACCACAGGAGCAGGGGGCTGAAGAGGTGGGAAAGAGGCATTTCAGTTGTTTAACCAGCTGAAGTAACTGCACCTACCTCCTCCCCACATGTCAAAGAATTTAGTGTCTAATGGTTCTCCTGTTTTACCTAGAGAAAAAGAAATATTTGGTGTCACCAAATATAACCAAAATTATTTTACAGACATGCCCAACTCCTCTTAATGACTCTTTCAGAAGACAGCACAGAAATCAATTACTATAGTAACTCTTATCTTTTATGAAGATTACTCCTTAAAGAACATAGCAGTTTGTGAAAAGGTGCAGAAGAACGTAAGAAGAAAAAAACAGAGAGGATGCAAACTTATGATTTTGCTTCAAGTGGAATATACAAAATAAAACAAAAAGCCCACAGCCTCTAAAACCAATAAAAAAAAATGCACTTCATAGATTTCCCCCCCCCCTTTTTTTTTTTACGTTGTTTTTTCAAAAATACATAGTACAGCTACAGGTTGCCTTTAGTGCCACATGGAAAGTAAGAAAGACTAAAATGACACTGCACGTTTTGCTATAGACTGGAAATTCTTAGTTGATTTAAACATCCAAAACAAACAGAAGAAAGACGACAATACATTAATCTTATTAGATTTTTTTTTTCCCTATGCTGTCTACAAAGGCAGTATTTGATAGAAAGTAGAGTTTTCTTTTTAATACACACATTTGTTTTAAGTTTAAAAGACAGGGAGAAAGACTGGCAGCTATATAATGCAAAGGCAGGTATCTTGGTTTTGAACAGATTGAGACAATTTAGGAGGGCAAAATAGGATTAGCTGAGTATTGTTCAACTCATGCTTTAGATGACATACACCTGAGTACAATCCAAAAATAACATGAATTTATATTGCAGTGAAATGACAAAGTGCTATCTCAGTGTTACAAGGAATTGCTTCCTACACATTAAGGACAAATCTGCCAGTACCGACATTCAGTTCAGCTTTCAAGGTGACACACAGGTAAATCTGTTTGGTTTTAATGAAAGTTAAGAATCTGCAACACAATTACATAACACGATGTATTTTTGGGACAAGAACTGTAGATATGGACTAATCAAATTCACTGATTTCAAGCTAGGAAATAATGAACTGGTCTTTCGATGTAGTAAGAGAATTGTTAAATAAGTTTCACTGAAAAGAGAGCAACAGAAGAATTTAGTCTACAAAATTTTATTAGTGGTGGCAACACAGAAAGTCAAAAGAAGTAGCATGGATCTCATACCTTTTTCCATTTTGTATGTGCATTAGGAATTTGTCTGACACATCACAGAGACAGTTACCTCCACTCCACATTATTATTTTTACTACACATTCCTAGAAACAAAAATGCACTGAGTTTTTCTACTTCCTAACAAAAAGGTCTAAGTGCCAAGATCTGACATTATCTCAGTATGAAGATTCTGAAGACTTCCTTTTCTCCTCCTGCTTGCTTTTCACCATCCCTGTAGTATTGCACTTTAAGTTTCAGATATAATTTGAAAATTAAGACAGTCTGCTCACTTAAAATGCCACTTACCATTGACCAAGGCCACATTTATTCCTCTGCCAACATTATTTTTAACTCCACTCATTAAACTGAAACAAAAGAAACAATTTTATTTTTAATAGTACTATTTTCTGATGTGAAGTATTTCTGTTTTTTAAATAGCACCAATCAAATTGTAAGAGATACATAGTTGAAAGGCCACATGTTCATGAGTACTTAAATGCAGCAAAGTCTCCTTGAATTAATCCATGTGCTCGTATGGCACCACTGAATTGAGAACAATAATCAAATATCCCCAAGTTGTATCCATTTCATTTGATCATTTGATCGCTTTGATCACCCTGGTTTCAAAGTATGTGTGTATATCAAAAATGCCAGCAAAAAAAAAAAAGAGCCTGAAACAAATAATGATTTGAGGAGCTTAGCACAGTCATGCAACCAACATTCTAAGCTTTTTTGTAAGCACATGATGAACAAAAATGCATGAATGAGTTTAAAAGCTAACTGAACACAGGTATTTAATTTTAAATATTGCAGCATCACACTGAGAAAGAAAGTCAAAGCAGTTAGCTACTTGTACCTATGACAGGAAACCTAAACCCAAGAAAAACAGTTCATACACTGATGGGACTTTAAACAAAAGTTGAGTATAATCTTGGAGTACAGTTACACATCCCAACAAAGCCATGACAGTCTATACAGCAATTGCTTGGCCAAACTCAGAGTGGCAAAGGAGCTGGGAAGCATAGACACGTTGTGAAATGGAAGCCCTTCGGAGCTGTGAGGAAGAGCTAATGGGAATGTCAAAACTGTCAGCTGGGGTGCTGTGCTGTCTTTGACCACAATGGGTGGATGACTGCAGTGAGAGGAAGCTTAGAGACCTCCTCATCCCTTTTCACTGGCACTGCATAAGCCTCTCTGCACTGCCTCCAGGCCCCAAATGTCCCAACATTAACATTTTGAAGCTACCAGTAAGAGAGTTACAAAAAAAAAAAAAAACAAAGAAACAAGAAAAAAAAAAAAAAAAAAAAAAAAAAAAGAGAAATAGTAGTAAGGGTTGAAACTACCACATAAACTAAGATAACAAAGAAGTCTCTAGCTGAGATTCAAGGAAGCACCTCAGCACAGGCATACAGGTGTACGCGTCTCATCAATGACAAACACACTCTAACAGATGCTTTCATTCCATCCTGATGAGGATTTCTTTCACCTCCCCAGCTTGCTTTAGGAAGTGGCTGCAGATGTGTGCAGCCCTGTTACGTTCAGAACTTTTTTCACATTTCTTCCACAA